GATAATACTCGCGCTACTATTGAGCAATGCCAGACCGAACTTCCCGACCTCAAACGTTGTGGGCGGGACTAAGTTCGGAATGGCACCCAGGCTAGAAATACGTCACCAATCACCAGTCAAAAAATAATGACGCTTTATTAGTCATTAAAGATAAAATATTTCTCCTAACAAATAGATATTGATAGAATTTGAAATATTTGAAATTTTCAATTAAGTTATAAAAAAATATTTAATTACATTTTTTTTATGCTCAGGGTCATTGGGCGGTTGGAGCGGCACTCTAGCGCCCTCCATTGACCAGCTGCCATTGATATAAAGGCAGTTTAGACAGCATTCATGTTTTACACTATGGGAGGACGCTGGACCAAGAAACATGCACAGACATGGGATGATGATGTCATTTCACTAACTGCGTGTTAAACCTTTGTGTGTGTGCGTCTGTCTGCATTAGTGCGGCCTGCACAACGCATCGGACAATGCTCTGCGCTTCGTCAAGGAGAACTTTCTGGCAGAAGACAGCGTGCGTCCGGTTGGAAGGCGTCCAACCATGGTGTCTGCAGAGCACGCCTACAGCCACCTGACTGTTCAGAGAGTCCAGGCGGCCAATAAGAAGCTGTACACCGTCCTCTTTCTGCTTACAGGTAAGCAGGCCGGCCAATGATTTTGATTTCATTTTCACTTCAATATCAAGCCTCTATATTAACATCATATCAGTCTCATTATTTACCGTAAGTGAAATTTCAATCTTTTAATTATTATTGTAGTTTTTATTATTATTCTAGAGGCCATCATTTTTTGTTTTTTTTTTTTGTTTTTGGAAAGTATTAAGACAGGAACTAGGATTAGAGAGAGTAGTAAGAAATACAGCAAGGGTCAGTGGACCGGGACTCGATTGCTTCATCAAGGACCGAAGCTTCCGGAAATATCCACAGAGGGAAAGACCCTGCCCCATCGGTTCACGAGATTTTTGCATTTCAGCAGTGTTTCATACATATAAACAGGTTCTGTATTTATAGTTGTAACATTGACCCGTTTGGCATTATCTACATTAAGTTGTCGAGCTTTATAACTGCTTTCATGGCATTCTCTGTCAAAGATTAAGCATGCAAGTATAAAAAATGATGATGTCTTCTCTCTCTGTCTTAATGCCAGAACACACCGGTTGAGTTTGATTTTTTTTAACCTCAGATACGTTTTTTCTTTTTTCAATGTCACACTAACTGCGTATAGAGAGGCTCCGACTAGACAGGATGAGCAGATCAGTGCAGATTNTTTTAACCTCAGATACGTTTTTTCTTTTTTCAATGTCACACTAACTGCGTATAGAGAGGCTCCGACTAGACAGGATGAGCAGATCAGTGCAGATTATTTTCCCTTCTGTCTCTGTGCTATACATGCATTAAAACTATTTCCCACATTTGACTGGAACAGATTATGATATATTGAAAACAACAAAAAGCACCACAGGCACATTCTATAAAGCAAAGCTCTACGTAACGAGTCTGTGCAGCATCTAGAACCAGAACAGATAGAGAATGTTCATCTGTTAAAAACATAATGAGATCTACGTCTAAAAAAAGAAAAAAGCAGCAATAAACAGCGTGGGACGGTTTCTATGGTGACTGAGAGGTCACTTTCATTTTTCCATAAAGAGGTGAGAGAGATACGCTGCTCTGACCTGCTCTGTCTGCTCCTCCTTATTTTTGGTTTCTGTTTTATGCTCCGTTAGTCACGTAACTCCTCCTCCACTGCACGGTGCCTGCGCCATCTTTATTAGTAGCGACAGCCTATGGCGACAGCAGGCTGCTGTGACAGCAAATCCCATAATGCTTTGCAAAGAGAGCTCTCTGCGCAAAGCATTCTGGGATATATCTACCTCTATTGAGCCTTTCTTTTCTTCTCATCCACTTCGTAGACACTTTTCCTCTTACGACCCTCAGCCATTTTTAAAGAACCGCGGTGAGAAAGCTGAGCTTCAACGATGGATGAAACCGTAGCTCAATCGCAGATATACGCCTGAAAGTGCGCAGGCTCAGAATAATATAGCTAACGGAGCAAGCAGGTAGGACGGCCTTTCGTAAACGTATCACCAGAATGATTGAGCGATGGGAGAACCAGTTATTTGGACGATCCACCTGGAAATGAAAGATCATCCTCTGTGCCTTTAAGGGAAGTTTCAAAGATACGAGATATTGAGATAATGTCAAATTGGCATCAATAAAATCCTTGACACACATCAAATTAATTCCAAGTTGATTTACGATTTTGACTAGAAGTGAGACGACAGTTTGATATTATTGTTTGATGCTATATTGATGTTAAACTGATGAACCTATTGGAAACCTGAGGTCAGATGCAGAGAGTATAAAATGACTTAGGAACAGAGGTATTAAAAGTGTTTATGTTTATTACTCAAGCAGAAGTATAAATTCTACTGTTTAACAACACTTTGTAGAAGTTAGAGCAGGGGTCACCAACATGGTGCCTGCAGGCACCTAGGGGCCCTCAGGGACCACATGTGGTGCCCACTGCATGCTCACCACTGAGCTAATTTTATTTTATTCTGTTGCTCTTCTTTTTAAATCATTTATAGAGCATTTGATCATTTTAATCATTTAAGCATTTATAGATATTTCAAAATGACAATATCATAAGGAAAATTAGGAGTTAAAAGAACCATAAAAGTATCCTTATTATGTATGAAGTTTGAAGTATGAACGCTGATCCTTTCCGGTTCATAGGTTAGTATTGGTGGCCCTTCCTATGAGTCAGTATCCATGAAGGAGCCCTCAGTCTTAAAAAGGTTGGCAACCCCTGTGTTAGACTATCAATTTAAGCTTTTTACTCTAGTAAAAGTGAAAAGGTTCCATTTTTGAAAACTACTTAAAGTATAAAAGTAAAAGTAATGCAGGAAAAAATGTTAAGGCCAGAAGCTTTACTGCTCTATCCTTTTAAAGGAACATGTTTCTACAATTCTGCATGATAACTTCCTTAGACTTCATTTTCTTAGTTTTATAACTAATGGTAACAGTGTTAAATTTAACTTTGCATCATCTTGAAAAACTATTTATTTTGGTATGTCAGAGATCCCAAGTTCCAAAAACTAATTTCAGGGAGATGCTTATCGAACTCTTTTAACCCCATTCCTTATGTCTAATATTGTAGGTTCTTCAAAGTAGCCACATTTAGCTTTTACTGCTTCGCTCACTCTTGGCTTTCTCTTGATGAGCTTCCAGAGGTCGTCTCCTGAAATGATTTTCTTCACAGGTGTCCGCTGTCAGGTTTAATAAGCAGGATTTCTTGCCTTATATATAAAGATAACAGGTGGATACAAGGCTGATAGTCCCACTGAATAGACTGTTAGAATTTGGATTATGGCAAGAAAAAGCAGCTAAGTAAAGAAAAATAAGTGGCCATTATTACTGTAAGAAATTAAGGTCGGTCGGTCTGTAAAATTGGCTAAACTTTGAAATCGTCCCCAAATGCAGTCGCAAAAACCATCAAGCGCTTCAAAGAAACTGGCTCACATCAGGACCGCCCCAGGAAAGGAAGACCAAGAGTCACCTCTGCTGCGGAGGAGAAGTTTATCCAAGTCACCAGCCTCAGAAATGGCAGGTTAACAGCAGCTCAGATTAGAGAGCAGGTCAACGCCACAGACCTCTAGCAGCAGATGCATCTCTAGAACAACTGTTAAGAGGAGACTGTGTGAATCAGGCCTTCATGGTAAAACAGCTGCTAGGAAACCACTGCTTAGGACAGGCAACAAGCAGAGGAGACTTGCTTGGGCTGAAGAACACGAGGAATTAGACCAGTGGAAATCTGTGCTTTGGTCTGATGAGTCCAAATTGGAGATCTTTGGTTCCAACCATTGTGTCTTTGTGCGAAGCAGAAAAGGT